TGAAAAACGCATCGTAAAGTGCGATAAAGGACGACAGTGCATCGGCCATCCTTTCATAACTTTGTATCTTTATATTCTTTATGTCTGCCAACTTCCAGAGACTGCGCATAATTGCTTTCTATCTTTATTAGTGGAAATTCCAATAACACCCACAGACTGCTTTTAATTTCAATTCTTTATGGGAGCAAATGGGAATCATTTGGAATTCCGACCGGGGATGGTGAACAATGGACGTAAACATTAAAATATTTAGGCGGTGGTCACGAAACGGAAGGTCTGGAGACCAAAAAAGGGTTGACAAAATTGTTTGGCACGCGAATTCGTCGAATTGAGTGGTCTTTCTGCACCCCCGCTGCGTTTGACGCAATTTTCGACTCTTTTTTTCTAAAGAACCACAAACTCTGCTTTCCGGCAATTTCAAGTGTACCTAAATAATTTCTACGCGCGCAGTATCATGGATCATAGACTGGTGATCATTTTCGTCGGTTGTCTTGATTGCGATTCCTTGTAGTAATGTAAGTTTTATGACCGTAATCTCCTGGCGTCCTAGCATAATAAATACTCGCACGGCGGGTAGCAGCGTCGTTCGAAATTACGCCCGTCTTCCTGCATTACTTACTTGGAACCGTGGAAGCTTGTCCACGCGTCCGGAAGTCGGAAGTGCCAGCACATAACAACACCCTGCGCGAGGCGTTGACTTGTTAAGTGCAGTCAAAATAAATCTTGCATTCAAAACAAAACACCAGTGTTGACACGACGTTTAAATTTTAAGGTTATGGTTGAAATTCTAACCACAATTAACGCGAATACAAAGTTTTCTTTTTTGAATAGATTTCTATTATGAATTTAAAATTTTATTGCTTCCAATCGATTAACTCGACTTAATACCCAATAACTAATATTGACTTTTCTATTGACCCTAAAATATCTCCAACAGACGCATCTCTAATACAAACAGATACAATTTTTGAATTTCGAACAGGTGTGCAGATTAATGCATTCTGCTTACCTGTGTGCGTGTGATTCATAACTAATTCGAGTATTATCATATTCAAGGGGTGCTTAGAGATAGACGCCAATAAAACGGAAGGGCATACGGTGGAAAACAAGGTAAAAGGAAGAGGGGAATATAAAATGGAGGAAGTGCCTAATACTCCATCTGTTGTTACAAACATATGACACGTTATTCAATTTCAAACTTATTTTTATCCAAAAAAATAAAATTTTGACGTTTTGATCATTTCACGCTTTGATAATTACATCCCCAGGTCAATGTGATGCATCGTCGAGTTTACGATGATAGGACGACATTAAATTCCCGTCTCTTCCTGGACGCGCATTAAATAATTTAATGGCAATCCTGGTTCGGATTTTGTTACCCGGAAAATTCAACCTAAAGAAACTCAACGCAAATAAACTTTTCTTCGGTTCTTTGTTTAAAATAAAAAACAATGCAGTAGTCTATAATTTATTACTCTAAAAGATATGTCATGTTATGACTTGGTTTATCTAGCAATTAATAAATCACAGTCCAGCACACCGATTGAGATAAATAAACATTAGCTACCGCGACGTGTCTTGTCTGGTTGTCTCGCAGGTCGAGTGGTCGCGCGAGTGCATTCAGCAAACAATCATTGCTCAACTGTGCAGTTTACTGCGTCTTAAGATTTAGATAAACTTGTTTAGTGAAAGGCACCTTCTCCACTACTACTAATCCACAGCAACTTAAACTCAATTTTTTTTCGGGTTGAAAAGCGTTTTGTTTCCATGGCTGGCGATGCACAGATTGCGTGTAATTAGTGCGCAGCGATGCAATTAATGAAAACAAATAGATGTCACGTCGTTACATGAAGCACACACATTCACACACACACAGACGCGGAGTGAAATTTCTCTCCTGCTCTTGGTTGGTACGCCTCGCGGGCATGGCAGTTGCAGATCAATCAAACGCACACCGCACACAATATGCAATCGCAACTGCAATATGCATGCAATGAGATGCAATTGATAGCGTTTCGTCTGTCAATATACTACTCTACTAGTGTACTGTTGGTCTCTTCGAGGCAAAGCCGAATCGAGTGCGTGCGATTACAGTTTACATCCAGTTTGCGGTCGAGTGTGGACTTGTGGAGTTGACCACGTGTGGCATTAATAGGTTGCAAGTTGCAATATTAGCACACAGATAAACCCGCTCGTGATGGACACGAGTTGTAATCGAGGTTCGGGCGCAGCTTCTAATCCAAACTCAAGAGAGTTGAAATTGAGGTTTTGATTAAACTGTCATTTAGTGTGTATACCTAAGTTTCACTGCATGTAAAATGAGAATATTCTAGTTTCTCGTATAAATAAATAAAATTGTCTTCGAGCATTATAAGTGCCATTATTATAATAACTTGCGCACGATTTGCGACTGGTTGCGAAGGTTGTGCTGCAGCGCTTTGTTTTCACACCTGCGCTGATCGCAGACACTATTTGCTTACATAATCGTAACTTCATAATTACTATCACACCGGCGATATGCTTGTGCGTCGCAAAATGGCCCAGATTCGATCAATTTATTAGCGAATTGCGGTTTTTCATTAAAATTTACTACGTTGCGACCGCAAATGGGACCGCGTCTTTGTCGAAATCAATTTGTTACTCAAATAATGAATATATACTGAAATTATGACTCTGCTTGACATATATTGGCAGATATTTAAATCAGTGGCTTGTCTTCGACCGGCCATTAATCATTTGCTGCGCGCACGCGTATTATCGCGTTTTCAATGAGTTCATTAATAACGCCGACTCGACTAATTACAAAGTCGTGCAGAAATAAGAAGCGATGTGAAGTAATTGCAACATTTTTCATTTTCACTGCGTGGAATATAAAAATAAGTCACCAGCGTCGCTGAAATTATAGCAAAAGAACAGCAATGAATACGCGCTGAGAACTGAAGACGAAATTGTGCTCAGCACCCAATTAGTCGTGACTAGTGAACGACCCTCTGTCGACGACACCCCTTGAAGTCAGACAGTGCATATTCTGTGTTTATTTACGTTTGTCTCGCCGAAAAAATCCGAAACAAAGCGAAAAACGACAAAAATATCTGAAAAATTCTCCTCTGTTGTCTAGTTTTCTCTTTAATTTAGGGTTTTCATTAGAAAACTGCACATATACGCAAATAACGTCTTTGTCATTGATTGGAATATGTGATTTGCCTTCGAGTGCGCCTTTAAGTTAAAACTTTCCATGTATTTTCGCAGCGGAAGCTGTAAGTGCGCCAAATCGTTCGGAAGCAATTGATTTCTATGTACGTGCTCGTATGAAACATACAAACATGTAATCACAATCTCTGACAATTGAGATTTATAAAATTACAACTTTCCGATCGCTACAACGAAATTTACAAAACTTATGACGCGAAACAATTTTATATTTTACTTAAAAAATGTACATAATGCGACATCTCTGTTTTCAAATAAAAATACATACCGATAACATTTATAAACAACCAGTTTTTTTGTGTTCAATGTCGCGCACGTTGTGAACGTGAATGTTTGTTTATATTTATGCGCATATTGATATAGTGTGCATCTCTGCCGAACTATAAATCAACGCAGCTCGATAACAAAATTTGCGCGGAATATTTGTCCAATTGACTGCGCACTCGACGGGCGCCATGTTTGTTTATGTAAACACTAAACAAACACACACGCAGCGCAATTATGTGTAATTAATGTAAAACAATAATTTAATGTAAATTTTGTATGCGCTGCTCGGAAAGTGATTGAACTGCGACCAGAGCGAGCGATTTTATCATATATGCAAATGCAAATGTTGGGATTACATCAAATTGAATCAGAGGGTTTACTATGCCCTCGCCATTCGAATCTTTAGTTAAGCATGTTCATGCATTGCTGCAGTTATACTATTATGCTATTATACTATTATGGATATCGGTATCTGTGATATCGATGTCCGATGTCGTAATATGTACTTAGATCGGCTCGAAATATGCGAATGCGTGCATCGTAATGGCGGAGTACAAGAGAGGCAATTATATTTGATGTAATGCATGGCACACGAATAGTGCGTGCGTCCGCTCGTGTCTATTTGAATCAATTACGACGTAATATGCAATTCCGCACAATAACTGGATTATAAGAGATTACCGCATCGCCGTGCGCCGCGTCGCGGTTTAATTTGTGCGCTGAAATCGAATCGTAAATACGATTGCGTGTGCTTGTGCGGGATTTATGCGGCAGGTGATCATCAGGATCGTCGGAATCCTCAAAACTAAAATTACAGCGGTGTACGGTACTCTAAGAACCTTTCGAATCGTTAAATGTGCACTAAAGTGCTTCATCGTTAAATTTAGCATTAATAGTTTAGATATCGGCGTGATTTTGGCATTAAATTATTAATTTTGGTTTGTAAACCAGTTAATATTCACGATTTAATAGTAAATATTCAATATGATAAGAAATACGTGCATAAATCGAGCATTTCTACCTGAATATTGTTTGTTTACTTTTTTATCTCGCCATGTTTTATTCGCGCATCGCGTGATTTCTCAAATTCATTGATACACACACACTTTCTTTACAACTTGACAAACTGTTCTCTTATAGGTGTTTGATACGGATTTATTCCGGATAACTGCATGATTGCGACATCTAGGAGCAGTTTTAGAACTAAATTTCTGTTTGATGTGCGTGACGCATACTTGTGGATTCGCCCCTGTTTGTGTGCACGTAAAGTTGGCCTTCAAACGTGTTTCTATCGCCCACCAAATTAAACCAGATGCCGATTATAAGCAAGTCGAGAATTTAAGCAGAGATGCCGCTACTATGTACTTTTCAGAATAATATACAACTTAATTCAGTCAGTATGTCACTAAAGTAACATAATTACTCAATAACAATGCGCTTTACATCATTTTTATTGTTTCCACTTTTCTACCCCTCAAAATTTGATGATTTTTCTACTTTGTCATATAGATAATTCAACAGTGTTGCATAAATGTATTTATTTGATGCAATAATGTTCAAACCCAGTTCCCAGTTCAAACAATAAAACCCACATCCATACTTCCTTTAAAATTCTTATCTAAATGCATAATAAATATTCAATTGTCCTACAAGTGCTACGATCGTTACCGATCTGCACCATCTTCATCAAAAAGATCTCCATCTAATTCTTCTTCATTTAAATTTTGCTTAATTTGTTTGGTAATCTTTTCCCGTTCCTTTATCTCAATAAGTTCCAATACTTTGCTCTCTAACGTGAACAAATGCTCATCGTATACCTCCGGCGCAATTTGTCGCATGGCATCAGCCAGATTACAAACGTACTCAACATTTGTACCGCTAGGCCCAACAGCATCAACAATTTGAGCTGCAATTGCGTCTAAACTGGCCTCGCCAGCATATTGAAAGTTATCAGTTGTGGCAAGGTAAATAGTGATGTCAAAGGGACTAACATGATTATTCTGTGGATGAAAAAAGACGTTGAAGCGTTGATAACCGCCTTTTTCACGATAGTCTAGGTGATTGACTACATGTGGAATGTCGTCTTCAGCGATTCTGTAAGCTATGCCCCAGACTTCATCTTGCTACAGAACAAAATCTTAAAATAGTTAGAAAAACAATTCTTCAATCAACGAAGGAAAATACTACCTCATTGTCACTTTTGATTAGAGTAACAACTCGCCCAGGCTGCAATAAGAAGACATTTGATCAAGTTTTTGTCATAAAAATCAGCTTAATTACTTTTTCAGGCACTCCACGATGATCTGTGCTATGTTGATAGAATCTCCTGGAGAATCCTTTGACGCAGCCAACAAGTTTTTCTTCATAGGGAAAGTCGACTTTCCATATCAAAGAACCATAGCCAAAAATCCACATTTTAGCACCTCCAGTTCATGCCTAGATTAAATAAACTTTAAATCTCTATTAACCAATTCAGGTTTCAACCATATTCTACATCAATTCATGAATGTTGAAGAAGAGATATTTGAGTAATACACTAACCTGATTCTCCTTCACAACGTCCTCAATGATGATTACACAAACATTTAACTTACAACAAATTTTGATGGATGAAGTGGAATGAATGAATTCGTTTCAGGAGATTCAGAGCACACTGGTTGTGTAAACTGAATTCCTATAACGTGTACAACAATGATCAGCTGAGGTTTTAGTCAGTCGAATAGAATGGGTAGCGACATCTATGTTAAAATTTAGAAAATAAATTCAAGTCTGCAGGTGCAATAAATGCAATAAAAGTTGTTAGTATTAAAGTTCATTATAGTAATTGGTTTCGAAACTTGTTTTTTTCTCGTTCTATGTCTAGGCGCTGTATAATAAATGTAGGGTTTGCGTGTGGCATGCAATTTTCGTCTAAATTCTCATTAGTTTTGCCATTAAATGCATCCGAAAGTTTATTTATTTAATCGTGTTTCGAGTGGAAGTTATTTGCGCTTTTTCGAGCTGAAAATTATTGCTAATCGATATATTTGTGCATAATAAAACACGTAGCATATCAACATGTGACAATTTCCATGAAACAATTGCAGTATGTCTGCATTGCATTAATAAATCAATACTTTTGCGCAGTTTAAACTTGCTGTTGTAAGAATGTTTTGTTACACAAGACTTCTTCAAGTTTTTCCAACAAATGTTAAGGATCTTATCAAGGTCTGAGTAGTTTTAAGAGTTTTCCAAATGGATATTTGTGCAGAGTTGTTAATCAATTAAAATTTTTTGCCCCAGGGTCGAATATCGACTTCAGTCGGCTGGCGCCGGTGCCGGCGACCTGCGGAACGCGCACGCGTCAAAGGCAGCTGCCGCCGCCGCCGCCACAGCACACACAAAACACAGTCCCGAGGTTTGTTGCACCGAGCGTTGCAATGTCGCGCCACGTCCCGCCGCCCCCAGCATGACTGCTGCACCCGATGGCATCGGCCACAGCAACAGTCGTGCGGAGGTGGTAGTCGTGGGCCGTCAAGCTGGCGCCAGAAGTGCCCGCCCGCGGCGGCGGCACCGCCACCGCCATCTCCAGGTCCAACAGCGACCAGGAGGCGGGCGTCCCGAACGCGTCCAACTTCGTCGTCTTCTCCAGCGGCAGCAGCAACAGCGGCAACAGTAACGCTAGTAGTGTGGACCTGGCCACGCAACCGCCTGCGACACTTCAAAGACCCATATCCTATATTAGTGATGTGGGGGACGATGAGGACCTCAACCTGGAGGAGGAACCCACCGGGGCAAGTCTTACGGAAGCGCGCAGGAGGAGGTTTAGTCAACGTCCGGATCGTCCCGAGGTGGAATCGGATGTGCTGCCACGAGCTTACCGCGTGCGTTACGATGAACTCTTCGATCCTTTGAAGGATTCGACTGATTCGGGAGTTATTGGGAGCGATACGCTGCCGAGGACCAGTCATCGCCAAAATGGAGAACCGCATCACAGCCTTATCAACATGCCCGACTATGCCAGCAGCTCCATTGATGATATTTCTATTGATTACGCTTTTTTGTCGCTTTCTCCCATGAGCGGCAGGTCGGAATTCTCCATCCAGAAACACAGACACTAGTGAGTACCAAATTACAATTTTTATTACCAGAATGCAGTTTCGATTCGAATTGCACAAATAAAGCGAGATTTATGTTTTGTTTACTTGAAAGAGACCTGCAGAAATCGCGGAAAACTAGAGTTGTGGGTTTGTTTTGACCGAAAAGATTTACTACGGCGAAAGTTGGCGAAAAACATGAAAAGTTATCGAATTGTTGAGATACTTTTGAAGTATGTATATTAATTTCATTCATAACTAAATCAAATCGTCTAAAAATAGCACAAAATGAGCCTAAATTACGTCTTCGCGTTTTTTTTTTCTTTCAAAGGTTAATTATAGAATTTGATTGCACTTTGTAAAGTCAACACACACAGGGCGCTAAAAATAACCGGTTTGTTTTTCCCAAAAACGTATCGTTTCGGAATTCTGTGTCTGAAAGCGGAAATTCGCCAAGTTTTGGCTCGTTGACGGCTTTGCCGAATGTTTACCGATACAAAAATTGCGGCACTTGCGTAGCCACACGCCAGATCCTGCCAAAAATTCTACGTCTACGTGCTCCACGTTTCCAATTCATTTTTAAAAGCGGAATTATTTAGTTTTGTTGTTGCCGCTGCGGCTTCGCGCACATTTCGCCGTCGCCGTCCGCAAATAATAGAAATACCTAAAAACGTATTCGTGTCGTAGACGCCACCGCCGCCGCCGCGGACCACCGCACTGACAATGTCCGTTCGCGTGGCTCGCCGCGTAAATAATCGAAGAGCCGATAAATAAAATCGAAATCGACAAACAAATAATACGTAATTACGTAACGTCGCGGCGTCGCTCGTGACGTCCGCGTGCAGTGTGTGTCCACGAAGTCAACGGGAAAAGTATTCGCGGCGCGACTTGATTCGGTGCCAGGAAAACTATTTTTCAAAAAAAAAACCGTTTTGCAATCAATTCGGTGTGCGAGTTTTGTGCGATGCGAGGACGATAGCACTACAATCATGGATCTGGTCACTGAAATCGAATCGAAATCCAATCACTTGCTCTTCATTATTCATCGGATGTTTGTTAATTTGAGCGCGGACGTTGGTAACACGATGAGTGCCAGTGAGCAGTTTTGTCCTGCGGATTCAAATGCTATTTTAACAAACACCACAAGCAATTCTTCGGCGGTGGAGGTACTTTTTGACTACGATAAGATGCACGATTATTTCCTCATCTTTTTTTCGACGTTCGTGCTGCATTTCATTGTTAATTTCGTGTTGGAAACCGTGCGGAATTACAAAGTGCGCAGGGAGAAACCTGCTGTCAATGGGCAGTCATCAATCGTTGCTAATCAGGTGGAAAATGTCGAAATTGTTAGGCAACCAACTCCGAGACCTAGAATACCTAAAGTAAAATCAGGTTCTGCGCCTAAACTTAAATATTTATACCTAAAAAAGTAAGTTTTTAATCAATTTTTACTAAAAATTTATTTTAAGTTTTTTTACGATTTTTCTTTGTTTTTTTTTATAGTGCAAGTAGAGGTAAACCACCCAGCGAGTACACCGAAGAAGATTTACGTGTGATGCCATCCGATCAAAATGGCTCCCAAGAAAATGTCTTCGAGTACCGCACCGGCGGTTACAAACCAACCGCGATCGGTGAGGAGCTGGGCGATTATACTGTGATCAGAAAACTGGGTTTCGGCCACTTCTCCACCGTGTGGCTGTGTTCGCACAAACTCGAGCGCGAAAAGTACGTCGCTGTGAAAGTGGTGAAGTCAGTGCACATGTGCGCGAATATGGCGCGCGAGGAAATCAAGCTGTTGAATCAGCTCGTCAACATCGAGCCGAAGCACGAAGGCCGGAAGTACATCATCGAAATGATGGACTACTATCATGTGAACAGCGTCAACGGCAAGCACATTTGCATTGCCTTCGAGCTGATGGGCCCCTCGCTGCTGCATCTCATCACGCAGAGTCAGTATCAGGGTATCTACGAGGGGGCCGTTAAAAGTATTATCAGACAAGTACGCATGCAGCCATTTTATGCACCGCCATTTTGTTTAATCTAACATTTGTGTAGGTTCTTATGGGATTGACATATCTGCACGACAAGTGCAAAGTGATTCACACTGATCTGAAGCCGGAGAATATCCTTATTAAGGTAAACGATGCCTACATCAAGAATATGGTGGATAAAGCAACGAGATACAATGAATTAGGCATACCTATGCCACGAAGTTACAGTAAGACTCATTTTACCAACATTTAAATCAATTTTATCATGAGAAATCGTTTGTAGTTACTTCAGAATGTTACGAAAGTCAGTCTTTTGAATCACACGTGACTAATAGCTACGTTTCGCCTGAATACGATGGTGATCACGTTGTGAGAAGTTCATCTTTTCCGAGATTATCGGATTTAACAACGATTGAGACCGAAGTGCATCATGGCCGCCGTGGACATAGCAAAAAAGAACTCTATGTGAGTCCGAAGATAGAAGTAAAGATCGCCGATATGGGAAATGCCTGTTGGACCGTATGTATAACCTAAAAACAATAATGATTTGGTTTTTTAATGGTGATTATTGTTTCAGAACGATAAAATTCAAGGCACCATTCAAACGAAACAGTATCGAGCATTAGAGGTGCTTCTCGACAGCGACTACGACTTACCCGCCGACATTTGGTCAGTGGGATGCATCGCCTTTGAGCTCTCCACCGGAGAGTTTTTGTTTAATCCGCGCAACACTCAAAACTATTCCGCCTCCGAAGATCACATCCTGCTGATTTACGAGCTGCTGGGTGGTATTCCTTCGTATATTTCCAGTCGGGGACGAAAATCTAGTCGGTATTTTGATAGTACAGGTAAATTTTTATAATCTGAAACAAAATGGCCGCTTAAAATAGTGATTTTTAGGTAATTTAAAAATCTGCCCGCTGCAATTACTGCACATATGGAAAACCGAAGACGTTCTGGTTGAGAAATACGACTGGAAACGTGTGGATGCAATTCCATTCGCCTCGATGATCAACGCCATGATTGAACCGGATCCTGAGCTGCGCGTCACCGCCGAAAACGCGCTGCAGATGCAATGGCTCAAGGAGGCGTCAACTCATTCAGTCCTAGTTTAAGGACGGCTGCGCGCAAAACAAACAAGATAATAACAAAATATACACTTGTAGTTCATAACGTTTTACGATACATTTTGAGCGAAAAACCAACTAAAACAATCAACAACTATAAACATGGCGTCGTTACCACAATTATTACTAAGATTTTTCTTCGTAGCATCAGATTCTCGTTCGTCAACATACGCAACTAAAGTGAAACAGGGGCCAAAACTAGACGATCATCATCACCACCACCTAAAACAGAGAAGAATTCAAAACATAGGCCTATTGGTGACTTACTGAACTGCTGCCATTTTATTTAAATTCTAAACAATTACCAGAATCTCGGTACGCAATGTGACATCGCGCAAAATTCAAAATGGTGGATCTACCAACTCTCTAAACAAGTCTAAAAACAAGTAGTCTTAGCAATTGTTAAATTACCTATTGATAAACCAACAATTTTACCAAAGAATCGACGACGTTAAATACACAAACAAATAACAACTTGATGTAGTGATAAGTGATAAGCAAGAAAATGTTCATACACATATATAAATAATATATTAAGGTTTGTATTCATAGCTTGTTTGTTCTATGTCGACCTGTTCATCATTTATTAACATATTCAACAAATTGTAGATAATTCTTACATCATACCAATCTTTTTATCATCATATAATCGCTAGAAGACTGAAATATTGTTTCAATTTCAACAATTTTCGCTGTTTACCCCAATCACTTACGATACTTTCAGTTCATTCTCTTTTCTAAATAAAACTGTACATTATTTCGCATCGAGTTTGTCTGGCTCCGGTTCTGTCACGACTGATACTTCCTTCTCTGCGGTTCGTAACGTAAAAACAACTGGGCAGTGCTGTAACACTGAATTATCTTTCTCCAAGTGTCGGATCCAGGATAATAATGAATCTTTGCTGGAAGTTCCAGTCGCACAAAGAGAATAAATTACTCCGTCTGATTGTTCGTGCACAGATGGTACTTTTACCAGTTTTTTCGGTTGTGATGCAAAGTTAAAGATTGGTACTTTTATGTTACTAACATCTGAAAAGAGTTTTACACAGTTAAACAGTTTTAATATTAATTTATTTTGTATTGTGTGTTGCCTACCATCTGAATCTTCTATCGAATTATCAACTGGTCTGGGATTTCCACGCAAAATGAAATAATTCACGCATTTATTTCGTAACCAGACCCGAAATGATCCTTCAATGTAAATTGGTTGTTTTGGATCGTGTTGTGATAGTAATACTTTCTGTGTGGGGCTTTGTGAACTGACAATCCACGTATCGTCTATTGAATCAGCAATATCTGAAGTCTAAAAGCAGAATTTGTATAAAATTATAAAAAAAAATTAGTTAATATTAAACATACTTGATAAATTGTTTGTTGGGCTTGTACATCAGGACTACTTATTCGACTAATCGCCATTTTGGCTAGTTCTAACGCATCATTCGGAGGTGGATTGGGCACGGCCCAAGGCGAAGCGTTTTTGAATTTTGGCATCCAATACATCATTCTCCAATATTTCCGCAGTGGAAAACCGCGTTTGCCAAAAACATTTAGCAGCATGTCTTCCATTTCACCATCAGGCATTACACCTTTCAATTAAACCAATTATATCAATAAATTAATACAAAAAAGTTTAAATAAACACAAACCATTGTCTTCCATCTGTTCTAATAAATCAATAGCACACTGCTGCTGTTTAGGATAGTGCATAAACTCTGATTGAATCACATTTGTTGGAAGAAACTTTCCTTTTGGTAGCACATCAATCAACGACTTATAAACCTCTAAATCTTTATGTACATTAAAACTCTCCATGTTTTTTAATGCAGAATAAATGAATTCCACATGACCTCTTCTGTGCACATCATGATCAATATACAATTGCACCATATCCATGTAAGTATTCCTATTTTTTACCTGAGCATTCTCAAATGTATGTTTTACGGTAACTTCACTTGGTGGCTTTTTATCATCTTCTTTTTTCTTGTTTTGTGCGTAATTAATTGAGGTTTTTTGGTATGTTCGACGTGCAATTGCAACATTATACCTTGTAGATTGACTGTATGTAAACAAATTTAAAATCAACTTCTTGCAGAACATTCTAATAACAATTCTAAATGTTTTTATAACTTTCAGAGGTTATAATGTTGCATGACCTAAAAATAACGAAATAATACATAAATTTATAGTAATAGCTGCATTAACATTATAATTTATAATAATACCTACACATTTTAATTAGTTTGGAGAGGTATTTATGTTATAATAAGAAGAAATTAGTTATTTTACATTTATTATAATGTAAACAGCCGGGTATTGTAATATGACATATGTTATTTTAGTTCGAGCGCAAAAAGATAGGTGGCGCTAGCAGTTACATTTCGTCGATTTATTTATTTATCTTATCAGTAAAAAGATTGTGCACGTGCGAATGTTTTCACACTGAAGACAACATTCCTTTCTTATTATTCTACGAATTATTTCATGTATTTTAGTTTGTTTACATCTCGTATTGAGAACGGTCGCGAAATAAACGCGAATTTCGTTTGTGTCGGTTAGCAACACTTCGCGCAATTGTTTTAACGGTCATTAAGTCATTTAGCGTCATCCCAGTGGCATCATTTTTTTCCGATTCATTCAACCCTGCACTGAACGGATGTCTGCAGCGGCAGGAAATCGGGATTTGCGTCTTCTGTAAGCAGCCCACCCCGTCGAACATAAAGTACTGCATGTGCTGCATGCAACGGTAAGAGGTAAGTCACATTTTGCATACGAACATACTATAAATAGCGAACGAAGAAAACCGTTCGCGCCCCCGGCGAACATGCGTTGCGTGCGCTGCGTTGCGTGTGTGTTTAATCCCTTTGCACCGCGTCTTACGCCAGTACAGTACGCCACGCATTGCACATATTGCGTTTTGCTTCCGTTTATTCCTGCTTCTACGCTCCCCTACGCGATGCGACACTTTTATGACTAAGCGTGGGTTGTGAAATCTTACGGCTGTTGTTACCATGTTACCCCCATTAGCAACGCAGCATACATTTATAAATAAACTACGTTTAGACAAATGACGAACGACAAATGACACATTTCGGCAAGGAATCATTAAATTTTCGGCTTGTTAAGATCGCAGAACGTGATTTTCACGCATTAATACTTTCAAATTTATATAATATATGCAACCAGGCAAACATAAAATAAAATAACCAACAGTTTATAATCCTTATAATAATAGACATCAACATTACTTATTTCAATTGAATTGAGCGCATATCGATTTAATGCAGCCGGTATTACACATTGCACGTGCTAGAAACGCAAATAATAGGACCCTCATATATTTCCACCGCAGCCAGGCGGGTGTAGGTATTCACATTATATTCAACACACAAAACAATTAAGTTGAAAATTTTAACGAGTTGAGACGCGAGTTGTAACTAAAAATAGTCACAATTACTCTGGTGTGTCTGGTGTTATGATTATGACGGTATATATCACAAAAGTGATGACTAAACCGGAACTGCAACCGAAACAATTTGATTACATTGTGTGGCATCGTAGTAATTTGTTAATTCCCAGCGGCCAGCGCATAATAACAGAAATATCATCTTACAAACAAAATATTATGTTATCACCGTTTTTATTTTGACTAAAAATTGTTAATTCTAAAACGGTTCGTGTTTGCGCGCCAGACAAAATATTGATTAATGCACGAGGGGGTGCTACAGCCCTCTCAAGTCTGCACGGGGTGCACATACTGCACACACGCATGAACAACAGATCCGGCTTCCGAAAAAAATACCAATGGGTATAAAACATGTTTATTTTATGGTAAATCCATCCCTGGAGTGATTCAAATGACCAAGTACTTACATGCGAGTACTTTGATCTGTCAATGTGCGGTGTTCAACCCGCACGATGCCTCACGCATCGCATTTGAAACGTGAACCGTTAAATTAACACATGGGTGTTATAATTTTATATGCAAAAATGTTAAATTGCGCGTTTTTTGATGAATATCTCTACTTGTGGGTGTTTACAATCACATTTTTTTGATTGTGGAGATGTCTGTAGGGGGTGTGTATGGATATATAAATAAAAATAGTAAAAGTAGTGCTTTTGAGCACGTGCGCACGTGTGACTGATAAAAAAACGTAACGCGATGCCGCTGTATATGCAAAACGCGAACGGAACAGACAACGTTTAGTATTAGTAAATCCCGTACGCGCACGTGCGTGATTATAGACCAGACCAGACCAGCAGACAAACCCTTGGAGGGCGTCTGGAGATCCTTCAAGTCTTCCTTCCGCTTTCTAAAAATTTTTATACTTTTTTATATTTTTATACTTTTGACACTATACTGATATTGATCGGAGAACCACGTTGGATACTTTTACTCCCCTATAGAATATAATATAGAATATTGCACTGCAAATATGAGTCATTTCTATGTGGTGCTTGGTTGTTGGGTGATGCATAGTTTATTAACCTCTGGTATCACATTGAATAGTTGAATAGTGCGCGCACCCGAATTGAATTGAACATGTGGGTTGTCAGTTACGTTGCACACGACGCGTCGCGTACAATTTTTATATCGCTGTGTGTGCACTGGGGTGCGTGCGCGCCCTTATCGCCCGCTCGAATCCACCCTGTCGCGAGCCACACCAGGTGCGCCCTTTTCCACATTCGACGCTGGCGCTGGTGCTGGTGCAGGCGTCGCGCGACGTAGCGTACACTCAATTCGCACAATGCACGTCTAATGACTAACCCGTGTACTGCGTACCCCGAATTACGAAAACAACGTCTCTGGGAGTGATTTTCGTCTTTCAAATCTTTCGCTTTAAAATATCTTAAATTATAGGTTATGTTAATGGTATTTTCTTATTCGAATCTTGATTTTTTTTATTTTGAAGTTAAATTTTAAAATTTATAAAAAGAAAGGAAGTGTGAATTAGAAAAGTAGATGTAGATAGTTCCTTTGGTGGTCGGTTGGTAGCCGTCTAAATTTTATTTTACGCTTGCCCAACTTTTACCGGACGCCGCCGCGAAACGTGCAATGACGTGTGTCGTACTCGTTGCCCGCCATTACCGTAACGACCCCATCGCCGTTGGGCACTTGGTGCCCTTGTTTATCCAACGCCCGACGCGCACATGCGGGATAACGATAAACGGGCGCGCGCCGCACGAAAATCGATAGCGCACCAATAACGCCAACAATACAACCTGGCTGATGTAAGACTTAACGGTAAACTCTACATGCAGTGAAATCACCCACCACCATATTATAAGCGGGTGGGTCTAAGTCTACCCACCAACTGCCAATTATTTCACACCATTTCCATTTCCACCAAAACAACAAAAATTTATGCCAAAAATTAAAATTCCACGTGGCACCTGCTGCCGAATATTAATATTCATTGACCTATAATACGAAACATTTTAATTGCGAAGGTAGAATGTCCTTGAAAGCAGAAACAACGTGTTGGGGTTTTACTTCCGCACTTTTGCTTTCTTTCTTTCTTGAAACGTTGAGGTCGCGTGCGGCGGTTACTACTCGGAACTATCATAGCATAACGCGCGCCAACGGATAATGGACGAGGAGTAGCCACGTTGGGGCACGTGTCCTGGATTTCATATGTGAGGGGGTGCCGTGTTTGAATCGTGCGACGCGTGCCAAAACTTGAACAACTTTCTTTACTTTACTGCATTATAAGTAACAATGCACGATTGATACAACACAATAAACGTAGGGAATCACATATGCTTCCACCCCTGACTTCTTAAGACCACGCAGCTTGTGGCGCGTGCCAAGAAATCGCCAAATATTAATGTAAACAGCTGGCGAGTCAAATCACAGCTGCCCCGAGGGTTTAACCCGAAATTATTTGGTTATTAGTGTAAACAAATCATCAATTGATTATTAAAAATTTCGTGGGGTTAACCTAGAAATAAGGATTTGATGAAATTTAAAATTTTGCACAAAAGAAAAGAGTGACATGACAGGATGTGCTCAATTCACCACGGGGCACAGGTAGTGGTTACAGGTGTACCTCCTACCTGGCTATAACCTATTCAGTGCGATACCTTTGTACCTCCCCATCAGACAACCCGCAAAATATCTTTTCGCATCACACGTGTCTCTTTATCGAGGTGTCAGTTTCGTCAAAAGTTGAAAATTTGTAGAAAATTTGTTTGTGCACTTTTTTGACAGTTTTACAACACTTCAAACCCTTTTCTTAAATTCTAGACACTTGAAAATCATTGTTTTAGGTGTTTGTGATTAATTACTTATCATATCTGTCTTGACTCCTGATTAGTTGTTCATTTCACCCCTTTTTTTTATTACAATAATAAGTAACGTCCGTTTCTTCCGCATCTTGTCCCCATTGTACCCGGATTCTTCTCGGTCGCCTTTGCCTCCGATTGTTGTACTCTCCCTCGGCTAAGAATGAGATTGTTTTGCAGCTTTGCAGCTTTTGAGCTTTTCACTTCCAGGTTTGGTTCCGTTGCGTCTTTCTTCCCCGTCCGTCGGAGGCATGTGTGCAAAAATTCGTGTCGTTGGCGTGCAGTGGAAGAAAAACGGCGCGACCTACCCTAAGACACGAGCTTAGGGTGGTATACCGCGCCACGAGGCACGTGCCGTTATTGCAGCTGCAACGATTATGCACCGAACGTTCGAATACCTCCGCGCTATATATACCTATATATAAAAATAAAGCCGCGAGTATATCGTCTCTAGTCTTCCCCCAGAGAGAGGAGAATTGTGTAGGTAGGGCGTCTTGGAAATAGCGGAACAAAATCAGGAATCAATACATTGTGATACTTATTGACATTTTGTCTGGAAGGGTGTCTTGACGTATACTAGTATTACCTACCCCAAGAGGGTACCGTACCGAAAAACGTTCGAATTAAAATTTCCGTTAGATCTAACGTATATAAGTTATTTATAGCTATTGAAGGTATTCCCGAATTTGGAGTGACAGAAAGTTGCAATTACTCGGTGCAAAAAATAAATCAAGCATTTTATTGTTTTCAGCCCTTTAAAAGGGTATTCCATGGTGGGTACATTCGTGTTTAGTTGCTTACATCACTTTTTTGGGCATTTTTTTCCATCGTGAGATAGTTTAAAGATTCTCACATAAACGCCGTTTGTGATTAACATAATCTGCCACTTCCGACATGGGCCAACAACTTCTCCTCCAGCATCTTCAATAAAAAAACGTAATGGATTCAGTCGTGTGATGTGTTTGTGTGTAATTGAGAAACAAAAAACTCCTTAGGCTGCAGATGCAAATTAGTTGTATGCAGATTTGTTGAGGGTACCTTCAAGATTCAAGACTCAAACTGTGAGATTGCCGAGATCCGA